TTTCAGTTCGCGAACTCTGCATCGGGTGATGAACACGACCTGCGGCCATCTTCCCTCCTCTGACACATGGTCGTGGCTTCCTCTAGGTGAGATCGTCTGTACTTTGTTTCATATTTTTGTGGTTAAAAAAAAAAAATGCATATGGTTCAGAACGGATTAACCTTATTTACATTGAACCTTACGGGAAAATTTGATTCGATTGGCGACCAATTCGGTTCACGACCACGTTCGTAGGGATCAGAACGGATTAACCTTATTTACACTGAACCTTATGGGGAAATTTGATTCGGTTCGCGACCAATTCGGTTCGTGACCAGAATCATGGAACAAATTAAGTTTGTGAACCGAGGTACCACTGTACTTTGGAACGCTGCTGGTAAAAACATTCTCACTCAATCACTTCTGATCCCATTGCTGGGCAGCTACTTTCACCAACATGGAGGCGCAGGGTTGCAGGAGTTGCATGCAGATCCTGCTCAGCAGCCACCGCACACTGAGTCCCCACATCTTGGAGAACCAGGTGCCTAGGGCCCCAGGAGAAGCCCCATTGTCCCTGCTGCCTTGGCATCTCAGCCACATTCTCCTCCAGTGTTTGGTGGTCCTCTTCCAGTTCTTCTCCCTCTGCCAGTTGCAGGCCTTGGAAGCTCCCAAAGCTAACCTGGTACAGCTGCCATCCTCCTGCTGCAAAAGGAATCCAGTCCCTGCTTTACGAAGTTACTTCACTTCCCAAGAAAGGGTCTCCAGACCTGTCCCTGGAGATTAGAAGGAACATCCTAAAATCCATTCCATCTTATGAGGGTCACTGAAGCCATTGGGTCGCTCTGGCTAGAGTGTACAAGAACATCTCTTGCCTTCCTCTCTTGGCTTTGAAGATTCTTATTAAATTGCCAAGCGGGAACTTTGCCTCTGAGGCCAGAAAGCCTGGTTGCACACCCATGTGGCGTTTGCATCCAGCAGTTCGTGAGCAGGGGAAATGCACCAGTTCTTAGGGGCAGTCTCATCAGCTGCCATGCTATCAGAGGCTACTTTGCCTTCCAGGAGTGAGGCTTCACGGCAGCTTCCCCTGCAAGTGGCTTCCTTCCAGGTGTTCCAGGCAACGTTCCAATTCCATCATACCCAGACAGCTGACTGGAGTGATGGGAATTGGCATCTTAAGCTTCTGGAATACATGCAAAGCACCACACAACTAGAGACAGTTTAATTCTTCCAGCAGCTGTTGATAGTCTAATAATATCAGTAATAGGATTATAACACCTGGGGATTATCCGGTTGCTCTTAATAGTCTTGTTGTTGTTGTTGTTATAGGGAGTCACAATACCATAAACTTTAAGAACCACTCCTATAACTCAAAACAACAACAGCTATAGGAGAGCCAGGAACACTTACATTTTAAGGCCTTGAGTAAACCAGGATATCCTATTAAGCCATTATGTGCTTCATTTGGGATGTTAGGTGAACCACTGTGGCTTGTAATCATGGTTTATGATTCAGCATGTTCTGCAGACAACTGGTATTTGGATCCATTTTAGGGTTTACAGTAGTCTTGAAGGCCACATAATTCTGTCAAACAATTAAATCCTTCCACATCACATGGAAAGAGATAACTTGTAATTTGAACTATGGTTTTATCGTGCAGTTTACTCTGCTGTAAGAGAGACAATTTATAAGCCAAAAAGCAGATTGACTGAATTCTGATCAGTTTTTGCTTTCTTTGTTATTCATGTACTTCCAGATATTCCTGAAAAAAGCTGACTGATCTTGAAGATACAGGGAGTAACATATCCAATGGCTTTTTAGCTCTTCCATTCTTCTATGACAGTGAAGATGCAGCAGAATGAGTGGGCTACTTCTGAAGAAAAGCTAGATGCGTAAAGAGCACCTGCTGCTCCAAGGACAAGAAGAAAAAGCGTGTGGTGAAATTTGGTAGAGCCTTGGAGCTTTCTTACCATTCTTAAATGGAGAAGAGAAGAATTTTTCACACACAGGTGCTGGGACTCAATTACAAGAAGCACCATTGCTGGCTTATCTCATAGTCAGCTGCCTTTGCAGCTAGAAAACAAACATACAAATGGGGAATCTAGAAATGAACTTTCTGTGTTGAAGATTTGTGTTTTGTTCCCTTGAGTAAGGACCACATTGTTCCTATATTTCTTCCTTCCTCCCTGGACTTTGATCCAGAATGTATCATTAAAAGGTACATTTAGAAGTGCAGGTTTATGGGATGTGAACCTAACAGAAGGGAAACTTGACCATTGAGCACTTATGGAAAAGAACCAAGATGTAATAATACTTGACCTCCAACCCTTTCAATGAGTAACATTTGCTCTAGTCCACACCTGAGGACTAAATGTGAAGGAGAACCGTTCTTAAAAATTGCAAAGGTGGCAGATGGCAGGGATATAAAAAATACTGTGCTAGACCCGCCATGGCTGAACATGCCTCTTTCATACAGTTCAATTCATGTTAAAGTCAACAGTCTCTTCATGCCTTGGGAATCAGTGCAAAGTTTATCCTTTTAAATCCATCTCTCTGTAATGTACTGGTTGGTGTGAATTTTGAAAAAGGAAAAAAAACCAAAACCCTCTAGACCAGTTCTCAAAGGATAGGGGTTAGAGCAGTGTTTCTCAACCTTGGCAGCTTGAAGATGTGTGG